TAACTGCATTCATGTCTTTTGTGGGAAATGCAAAGCAAGTGGTGCATTTTAATCTTGCTTTATAATAAGAAAATTGAACATGAGGATCCAGCCCGGGAATTATATTTTCAAGGAGGCAGCCCGGGCTGAGCCAAGTAGCAGTGAGGACTGGATTTTAGCAATGGAATCAACCTAAGTGAAATAAGCTGTTTTTACAGGCACGCATTTCCCCAGCATCATCTGGCCCAAATTGCCCAGCTCTCTGGTCCTCAGACGGGGCATTTCCAGAGTTGTTATGTCAGGGTCACCTCATGTGAGAGGGCCAGACTTCCAGGAGGACCAATTAGCTAATGGATGTCTCATTTTAGACTAGACTAGATTACCCGCCATGGCCTCCACCGTGTCACTGCAATTACTTTTTTAGAAGTCACCAATGAAGCCAGGAGTATATAACCCACTAATTTGAAAAATGAGGCAGATTCCAGGCTGATTGGCAGGATCAGCCTTTTCCTTTCTGCTCTCAGGCTCTCTGGAAACTAGTGTGTGTGGCTCTGGGACCTGAAGCCCTTTCATCCATTGCAGGGAAAATGGAACACCAGCAGGGTGAAGGTGATATGCAAGACCATCACCATGAAGCAGTGTGTGTCTCAGGTCCACACAGTTCTCAGCGGTGCTCAGTGTCCCACACTGAGCATTTAGTTGCTTATTGCATTTACATGAGTTATAGCAACTTATCACTTCGCCAACAAAAGTCCATGTGGTCAAAGCTATAGTTTTTCCAGTAGTCATGTACGGATGTGAGAGTTGGACCACAAATAAAGCTGAGCACCGAAGAATTGATGCTTTCAAATTGTGGTGCTGGAGAAGACTCTTGAGAGTCCCCTGGACAGTGAGGAAATCAAACCAGTCAATCCTAAAGGAAATCAACTCTGAATATTCATTGGAAGGACTGATGCTAAAGTTGAAGCTCCAGTACTTTGGCCACCCAATGCGAAGAGCCGACTCGCTGGGAAAGATTGAGGGCAGGAAGAGAAGGTAGGGACAGAAGATGAAATGGTTGGATGGCGTCACCGACTCAATGGACACGAGTTTGTGCAAACTTTGGGAGATTGTGAAAGGCAGAGGTGCCTGGCATGTTGCAGTCCATGGGGTCGCAGAGTCGACATGACTTAGCGACTAAACTACCACAACAACAAATAGCAGCTGTATCTGAAAGCAAGCATTTTAATGCTTTAAAAAATGCCAGGAGAAGAAAAAGGCAGAGATTTTGTAATATTAAGTTGCCTCATGAGAGACTAATGCTGCTCAGAGTGTCTCTTTCTAATTTGAAACTGTCAAGAGCTTCAAAGAAGAGAAGAATCTGCCTGGTGTGATGGGGTTTGTGACGTCACTGTGGACATTGTGATTAATTCAGCATTCTCAGTTGCTAAATTCGACCTCCAGCCAAACCTGGTCTTTCTGAGATTTTTAGAAGACCATGTTAGTTATGCGATGAGTGTTTTATTTCGAGTCACCAACCAACCATGGACAATTGCTCTTCCTGTGGTTTCCAAGATGCTCAGACAAGGCAGGTGGTTTTCGTTTCCATGCCAATGGTGGAGCAGCACTAATATGTTTTAGTAAGTTTTGGCCCCTTTTAGTATTAAGACTGTGATGAGATGTATTTGGGGGCATTTAGTTAATTATAGTTGTACTGTAGGCTTTAATTACAGTGAAACTCTTCTGTTCTCTGGATGCACACTCTCTGACTGGGAGACCTTTGTGTTTCTAAACTCCTGTCCCTTATTTGGTGGATTTCAGTGATCAAAGGTGATTGGGTTACCTAATACCCTGAGGTGGAAAGGGCTTCTGGATTTAGGGGCTTACTGAAGGTCCTTTAAATCCCAGCTTCTCTTCCACCTGCTAACTTATCCATCTCTTTTCTATGATCACATTACAGAAAATTTAGAAAATAAAGGAGAAAAACTAGGGCTATAATTTTACAATATTTTCATTTTTTTTCTATAGATATATTGAAAATATTTGTGTGTGTGTGTGGGTGTGTGTATTTAGGACTGTTTCAGTTTCGAGGGACAGAAACCTAGCTCCAACAAGCTTAAGCAAACAGGGGAATTGATTGCACGGGTTGGGTGTCCCTGGGCCCAAGGACAGGACTTGGCCAGGCCTGAGAAGTGTTGGAGGCCAGGGTCTTTCTCCCAGCTTTTCTGCCGTGTTTCTTCTCAACCTTCTTTCTGTCTTTATCTTTCTCTCTCTCATCCAGCTTTTTCCACATGGAGAAAAACATATCCACAGAAACCTCCCGAGTTTAATTCCCTTTTCTCTTTTCTGAGTTTAATTTCTTAGTACTTCAGTCACCCAGATTGTTCAACCTGCTTCTGGCATGATTCCTAAGACCCAAGAGTGGTTGTTCCCAGGGTAACTGTGTGACAGAGGGGCAGGTTTCCACCTGTTGGCCCCCAGATATGCATACATGTTCCCATTTCATTTATTCAACCTTCACACTACCCCCACCTAACTTAATCCCACCACCCCACATCAAGTCGCAGACCCGTTCATTCCCCTTTGTCAGTGGAGGTAGCCCCTCCCCCGGGGTCCCAAGTAGCTCCAGCCTCAGTGGTCATCACAGGGCTGCTGTTCTCCAGGCCAGGTGCTCCAGGTGATATGTGTTTAGGTGTGAGCAGGTCCAGGTGAGGCTAGTCACCATCCATACCCCATGGTCCAAAATAACTTTAGACAGTTGGTGTACAAGACTTGGGATTCCACCCAGGGCAGCCACCACGTTGGGGCTTCTGTTTTCCTAGCCAGGTTGTACTGAGACCGATCTCCTGCTTGCAGAAGTGGAGTTAAAAGCAGATTCTTCTTCTCAGCCTTAAGGCTTAACCTGGAGGGTAGATTCAGCAGGAACCGTAAGGCTTGCAGTTATTTCACTCATTCCAGGTAAGGGGCCCTCGCCCTGGGCAAAGTGGAGGGCAGGGCTTCTCCCCTGCAGGCCAGACACAGGCAAGAGGTAGGGGGGTTCTGGCAGCTGCCTGGCCCCTTTGCCAGGGGGTCTCCACATTGGAAAAGGAATGCAGGCACTGGAGGTTTGTCCCACCAGCTCCGGCTGCCCTGGAGAGAGCCATCTGCTTTAGTAGATTAATTAGTGTCATCCTGGCTTTTACCAAGAGTGGCCAGGTATTTTGGGGTTCAGGCTCCCAGGCACAGTCTTTATGTTTCATGCTAAAAGCCAGCCATACTGCTGTATTTTTTAAAAAAGCGTTTGTGGCAAAATTTAAGCTGTCACAGTGTAAGCAAGTTGCATTGACCCGTTTTTAATTCAAGACCTGCAGGAACCAGCTGATTGTTGTGACAGTACAGTGACAAAGAAGAGAAAATCTCATTACAGGCGGCGTTGCTGAGTGGGCCCGGACTTCAGAAGGGAGTTATCCTAGGAAACCGTACCAGCTATTGCCTGCTTGTGCGTGTGTGTGCACACACACATTCGCTCCCATGGAAACCATGTGGATGAGTGTACAGTTCCTAGCAAACCTAGAGGACAGGCAAGCAAAAAAAAAAAAGCTGTCCAGTTAATCATAACCACAGTGTACATTAAATTTTGGATTCTATAGTTCTCATGTGACAACACATACAAGTTTTTCTCTATATTGTAGATTCTTCCAAGGGCCATTTTAATGATTACATAATATTCCATTGACTGTTTGTGTCCTAGTTTGTTTCAGCCATTTAGAAGTGTTCAGGTCTTTCCTGGTTTTTGTGTGTGTGTTTATAAATGGGTTTTGATGAGTATCATTGTGCAAAGAGCTTTTCCCATAGCTGGACTTAACTTCTTTAGGATGTAGAAGAGGAACTGCAGAGTCAAAAGCATGAATACTTTTATGCTTTCCAGAAAGATTGCATTAACATAATTTTCATTGCCAATCGATAGTGGATGAGAAAGTGAATTTCACTACCTTTGGTTATTTTCTGTAGAATATTTTTAAAATTCATTAAAGATTAAAGGTACATTTTAATTTAAATTGTATTTTTATAAGTGAAGAATAATTTGGGTTATTATGGCAAATTTTTAAAAATTATTTTTAATTGGAGGATAATTGCTCTACAATATCGTGTTGATTTCTGCCATACATCAGCATGAATCAGTCATAAGTATACATGTGTCCCCTTGCTCTTGAACCTCCCTCCCACCTCCCACCCCATCTCATCCCTCTAGGTTGTCACAGAGCACCAAGTTGAACTCCCTGAGTCATACATTTTCTTTTATAATACGTCTCCCTCAAAATCTTGGTGTTTACTATTATATAAACTCTTTCTATAATGAGAGCTGTTTTTCCTATTTTGCTTTAAATATTTCCCCCGAATTCCTTGTTGTTGTTTGTTGTTGAGTCGCTAAGTTGTGTCTGACTCTTGCAACCCCATGAACTGTAGCCCACCAGGCTTCTCTGTCCATGGGATTTCCCAGGCAAGAATACCAGAGTGGGTTGCCATTCGCTTCTCCAGGGGATCTTCCCAACCCAGGGATCAAACCCAAGTCTCCCGTGTTGCAAGCAAATTCTTTACCACTGAGCCAGATTCCTTGCCTTTAAAATTTCGTAAGTTGTGTGTCGATGTGTTGGCATTCTACTTTAGCATGGAATCTTGCAAGATAACCAGGTTTCAGAAAGTAAAATATAGCCAAGAGAAGGAACTCAAAGCTGAGCATACATACTTTCCCCAGCTGTTTCAGTGGAGACAGACCATTTCAGAGTCCCCTGTCCCTGACATGTTAGGTCATTAGCCCTTGTGTGGGAAGGACTGTTGCTCAGATAGAATAAGGCAATATGGTTCTAGTCCAAAACCAGCTGTTGTCCAGACACATGCCCTTGATGGGAACTTCAGCTTGTCAACCTCGGTTTCTTCATCTGTGACGTGGTGGATCTTAGAAGGATAACTTTTCAGGTAAGTGGGGGGGCTGGTCTGTGGTTGTGCACACCCAAGATGAAGAATCACATTGACCACATCCATTCTTCCACCTCTCACTGTAGGTTTTGGGGAGTCCCAGCACTGTGACACTTCCTGAAACCTTGCTGTTTGTGTCAACGTTGGATGGAAGTCTGCATGCCGTCAGCAAGAGGACAGGCTCCATCAAATGGACTTTAAAAGAAGGTAATTGGGATTTGGTCCTGGGGTGACATGGACATTTGCTCAGCTGCTTCCGAGGAAACATTCCAGAAAAAGAGAGAAACATGATTTTAATAAATGATTTACATGATTTTAATAAATTAAAAAAGGATAAGAGTCAAAGAGAAGAGAGGAAGTGTACACAAAGGGTATGTTTAAAACCTGAATTGTGATTATCCACTCAGGGCATCAGTTGAGACAAGCTTTATCTTTTTTATTATTATTATGTTTTTTACAGTTGTCTAGATTGCATGTATAAATGGCTCTAGGCTTTTCTATGAATAGTCCTGGCTGGTTGGTCTTTACAAAGACATACTACATTAATTTTTTTTAAGTTCTAATGATTAGAATCTTGTAATCATAATTACAAGAAGCGATCTTCTTTAATCTCAAATTACTCATTTGTTTTTATAGAGGCTGAAATAACTGAGAGCGGTAGGATTTGACATTCATCCAAGTCAGTCATGTTATTAGCTCTTTACATTGAGGGAAGTGGAAGACAGAGGCTGTTTCTCATTTACTCTACCAAGCTTCCATTTTATCATCTTGTCTTCCTGGTGATGGTAGGCAGCATGGACTCCATACAGCTGGGAAATCGTATTCAGTTCCCAAAGTAATCTTCCTGGATAAATGCCAGGCAAATCCCAGGACTGGGGGCTCTCAAAGTCATCTCTTTTATCCATCCTATCATAATTGTCCTTTGGCCATAAATTCGGGTCTGACTGGTATGTTCTCTTTCATCACTAAGCCATGACTCATTATTCTCCTGAACACAGCAAATGTTTTTCCTTCATTAATAAAATGTTCCAAAACAGTGTTTTTAGTTGGAAAAATATTAGCATATATCAGAAGGTCACACATCATCTTGTCCATTCAGCAGCAAACCTAGTTGCCATCCACAGATGCTGGCAGCTAGGTAACCAAGACTGCCCTGCCTCACCTGTCCGGGCCAGCTTGGGTCAGCATGGACTTTAAGTGATGGAAAGGACCGTCCCTCAGGAGGGAGAGCCCACAGCAAGATGGGAGAGCCCAGTTTTGGCAATGCATTATAGGCTCCCCGAATATTATCTGTGCTCTCATGTTTAAGCAGAGTTCTTTATATTTCAGAATGTCTGATTTTGTCCAGAGATGAAAATCAGCAAGTCACAAAAGGACTGAGATAAACATTTTTGCTGTTAAATATGAGGGCTGGTCCCTTAGTTTCAGTATTCCCAGGCACGACATTTTTGCCCCCGAGCCACTTCATTCTTCTGCTTTGCTTTTTCCCTGCGTGTATTGTTTTAGATCGATCTCCAAGTCTTAATTTTTGCAAGTAGCCTTGCCTGTAACCAGCAAAACTGTGTCCTGTCTTGGTTGTTACTTAGCCAAACATAAGAAACAATCTGTTCTCTCCTGTAACTTATAGCTGAAAGAACCTGCCTCCTTTTATTTATTTGTTTATTTTTGAAAAATATTTGTTTAGCTGCATCGGGTGTTAGTTGTGGCACGCAGGATCTTTTACGGTGGTGCATGGGCTTAGTTGCCCTGCGGCTTGTGGGGTCTTAGTTTCCAGATGGGACCGTGTCCCCTGCGTTGGCAGGCGGGTTCTCAACCACTGGACCACCAGGGAGGTCCCTTGTCTCCTTTTAAGTTTAACGCAAGTTTAGAGAACTCTAAACTCTATCTGTGAAAGATACTGTGTGGGGCCCAAAGAGGAAAAAGACAGCCCCTACCCTCAAGGAGCCCACAGTCGGGAGGGAGACTTGACAAGTACACAGAACTTCAAGAGGGAAGCAGCCTTGTAACCACCGCAGAGAGGTGCTAGGAGACCGTCCCAGCTGGGCCAGGAAAGGCTCCATATGTGCATCGGAGCCTCGCTGGATACATCAGATTTCAGTCGGGTGGAAGCCTGGCGGGAACAAAGGAGGCACCAGCCCGGGGTATGGGGACAGGTCCGGTTTGGGAGGGACTTGGCGATGGAGGTGGAGGGAGGCAGACAGAGGGGATGTTGAGGCCTGTGGCAGCCTCTGACGCATTTGTGCTTGAGGGAGCAGGAAGTTGGGGGCCATTCACACAGCTGAGCAGGTGAGTGATTCAACAGGTGCTGCAGCAGTGTGTGCGACGAGAGAGGCAGACAGACCTGAGGAAGGGGGCAGGGAAAAGGGAAGAGGTGGGAAGGATGAGAAGCCTGCCAGAAATAGAATCAGGGGAACCCAGCAACTGGTTAGGTAGGCAGAGCGGGCAGGAGTTAAAAGACACTTGCGGGCAGAATTAGAGAAAGTTGATTAAGACCTAGGAATTTTAAGTAATGAAATTCAGTTCAATTTAATTCAGTGAAATTTCAGTATGTTCTAAGTCTCATTGTTTTTCTGAGAATAAATTGGCTGATTTTAGCTGAATTCAGCCCTATCTAGTATTGGGAGCGCCCCCATACCGCGCCCCCCTTTTTTGGGGGCTGTGTAGCTTGTGGAATCTTAGGTCCCCAATCAGGGATTGAACCCATTCCCTCTGCAGAGGAAGCATGGAGCCTTAACCACTGGACCACCAGGGAATTCTCTGTCTCTCTGTATATTTTTATACAAAGATTAAAGATGGTAACATATAGAGACCCTGAATTTTCAATTTAATTTTAATCTTGCAATTATAACTAAACATTTCAAAACCATTAATATGTTAGTGAAAGGAGAATGAAAACATTTTAAAAAACCCTAAGATAATGACATCTGATCCCATCTCTTCATGGCGAATAGAAGGGGAAAACGTGGAAGTAGTGACAGATTTTCTTTTCCTGGGCTCTAAAATCACTGTGGATGGTAAGTGCAGCCATGAAATTAAAAGGTGCTTGCTCCTTGGAAGGAAAGCTATGACAAACCTAGACAGAGTATTAAAAAGCAAGTGACATCACTTTGCTGACAAAATTGCGTGTAGTCAAAGCTATGGTTTTTCCAGTAGTCTTGTCGGGATGTGAGAGCTGGACCATAAAGAAGGCTGAACACCCAAGAATTGATGCTTTAAGAATTGTGGTGCTGGAGAAGATTCTTGAGAGGCCTTTGGACACCAACGAGATCAAGCCAGTCACTTCTAAAGGAAATCAACCCTGAATATTCATTGAAAGGACTGAAGCTGAAGCTCCAATACATTGGCCACCTGATGCTAAGAGCCAACTTTGGTTTTCCAGCCCTGATGCTGGGAAAGATGGAAGGCAAAAGGAGGAGGGAGGGGCAGAGAATGAGATGGTTAGATAGCTTTACTGACTCAATGGATGTGAATCTGAGCAAGCTCTGGGAGACAGTGGAAAACAACAGTAACAATACATAAGTAGATTTATAAATGTATCCAGCTACTCTTCTAGACCCTGAAAATACAACAGAATCCTTGCCCTCGTGGAGCTTTCATTCTATGGGGGAATCAGATAAGGAGATAAAGTACATAGTGGCAATAAGAGCTGTGGAGGCTACTGCACCAGTCCAGACAAGGGAGGTTGAGGGCTTGGGCCTGAGTGGCCATGGTGAGTCAGATTGAAATGGAAGAAACTTGCCGATGCAGACACCTCTAAGTCATCAAACTGGAGTTCTGCAGAACACTTACCTGTTATTCCATTTTGTGGTTTCCAAACTGTTTACTTTTTTCAGGGACCAAGAAACTGGGGGTGATTTTTTTTTTTTTCTATCCACAGAATAGTTTTGGCAGGTGCTTTTGTTCCTCAACCAAACATGTGCTGCTGTTCCCAGAAATGGAGATTTTTCACAACACAGCAGCAAACTCCACTTAGTACAGAAAACAAGTTCTGTTTGTTTTTGGAAACAGATTTGAGTCCTGACATTTTCCTGTAGGTGTGATCCCAATAAGCTGTGATTTTGTAACTGCAACAGCACCACTGTCTGTCTCTGAAATTTCACCACTGAACATGACTGAGTGTGTTTCATTTCTGCACTCCCAGCTCAGACACAAACTGAGAACGTCGCTGTCATGTTTTGGGTTAGACTCGTTTCACAGAGCTTGCCTCGGCCTGGTGGAATTAAAGGACTCTCTTTGGTATTGCCATGGCTGGTTTAGGGCTTCTTACACTCCCCTTGGAGTCTGACACTCAAATCTTCATTAAACTTCAGATGGTTCTGTAGCAACCCCCACTCCCATTCCCTTCCATCTCCTTTCCTGTAATAGTAGGTCCAGAGGACTAGGTCTAATTTAGAACCATATCTTTAAAAAACAACAACACACATTTATTTATTTGGCTGCTCGGGGTCTTAGTTGTGGCACATAGCATCTTTTGGTTTCAGCATTAGAACTCTTAGTTATGGTATGTGGGATCTAGTCCCCTGACCAGGGATCAAACCCAGGCCCCCTACACTAGGAGTGTGGAGTCTTAGCCACAGGACCACCAGGGAAGTCCTTAGAACCATTCTTTACTAACTATAAAAATAGCTACCCGTGCATCCAAAGAGTTCCAAACTCCTGAGATGCCCCCTAAATGATTAATATTGGAGATTTTTTATGAGGGAAGGATTAAAAACAAAATTAGTTCTTTGAAGCCTGAAGAACATCTTCTCCTGTGAATTTCCAACCCTGTGTCTCTGTTCATAGTTCCTACCTGTGCTGACAGTTATGGGCCACTCAGGCCAGAAAAGAGCGATGCTCTGCCCCTTGGCCACCCAGTCCTGTCACGTGGACTCACGGAGGGCCTCCCAAACCTGACCCCTCCTCCCGGTCCCCCTTGCCAGTGTCTTAGCCTGGCTCTCAACATGCACTTCCTGGATCCATGCAGCAGCTTCCTGACCACCATCCCTGCTGCCTGCCTCGCGCTCCCCATCACCCAGCACACTGCCGGCGGACACACCCTCTGAAACGGCTGCCCAGACCATGCTGCACCCCTGCTGAAAGGTGTTGCTCTAGGTGTTGTCCATCGCAGTGCTCCTCCGAGTGTGGTCTGCCCACCCGTGTTCCTCGCCTGTAAGGAGAGAAGTACAGAAGGGAGCAGAAGCCTCATCTCTGGGGGGTTGGACTTT